TGGAGACGTTACTGGTGCTCGCCTCGATGATCAGCGGGAGTACATATGATACAGGTGATCCGTTGAGACTACATTTCGCACCGATCGCATTGGTCAAGTCACTTGTACCATTGACAGGTGAGCTCCTTCTATTTCTATTTCGAGAGGAGAAGCTCATCAATGACAAGAGACACTTATTCAATTGGATACACGAATAGTATCAGCGCGGAATTTAAAGAAGAGAACATGCCTCGAAGGAGGAAGGTATCAGGTAGAACAACTGGTGTCCGTGGAGATGCTCTCATGTCGCATTAAAAGAAGAACATGCTTCGACGGAAAGCGTGGAACCAAACTGGTCCAAGTGGTGCTCGCGAAGAGTGCCTTCGGAAGAACCCTCATGTCCAAAGGGATATGTGACAATACATCCGTAATGTGCCACGCTTATGGGGGTAGCGAGCGACAAGGACGAGCCGTCCTGTCTGGTAGTTTGAATTTCAGTTTAAGGGGACCATAATGTCCGTCATGGATGGTCTCGTCTTCAGTGGAATTAGCATGAATTGCGCTACTCCAATCGACAAAGAATGCACATCGAGTATTTGCCGCGCATCGCCCCATGATATGCCGCGCGCGACGACGCGACAAATTAGGACTGTCTTGTCAGCTCCCCGAAAGACCATTAAATCACACAGTTGACTGATGAATAATCAAGTTCTCATACTCACCGATGAACTCTGAATCACCTTCAAAGGTTGAATAAAGTGTGGCATCAGTGAAATTTAATCGACGACGTTCGTCTTCCCATAACCGAATCTGGTCCGCTACCTAAATAGCTACGGATTCCCATGTGAGCAAGGGTGTTCCTGACAGTATCACTTACTATAAAATCGATTGCTTTTAGGACTCACCGTGACAGGTAAGCAGTTCAGTGGACCACCAGTAGTAACGCACTGTTGATGAGCATTTGCTCGTAGGAACGAAATGATTTGGCTAGCCGTGATTCCAACCTGAATAAAATTTTCAAAGTTATTAGGGGATTTGAAAGAGAAACTTGATAAAATCTGACCTGCAAAGCTCTTCGGACAGATTCCCTGGTAAGGATTCCAACAGACATATCGTTAAATCTATAGGTCATTTCCGTAAAAGTAGACAAAATGGCTAGCTGAAGACTGGAACTTCGTGTAGGCATAAAGTCGAAAGTTCGTTTCCACAATGATATTGCCACTGCGACGTTCGTCCAGTCGGCGGACAACTCCAACGTTTTCTTCGTCGTTCACGCTCGAGCACAAATTGATCAGCAATGGAGTGACGAAGAATACCCTAAAACGGTCATTTTGAAAAATACTGCAGTTTTCAGCATTGCAGGGAACCAAGGCGAAGTGTGTTCACTATAAAAAGCTTTGCAGGATTTCATAGTCCGGAGACAATGTGTATTCCATAACCGAGTATGAGGAGGGCGTGGCTGCGCACTTCATTTGAAAGTGGTGTGGTTGCGCTTCTGGTGAGATATTTTCTTTTGGGACAATTAGGTTCATATCATTGTCCAGCATGAGTCTAGATGACAGAAAAGTTTGGGATGACTCAATTAAAAACATCACCCGCGAACAAAATCTTACACCATGTTTGAATGAAGTTTGGAGCCCCGCCCAGCCTTCAGTATATACTTGTAGTGTCCAGAAAGAAGTGTGAGATCCAGAAAGAAAATTCATTAAAAAATGAAAATTAATGGAATTAGTTGAAAAATCGTATAAATGAGCATTATTGAGGAGGATCGAATGCGAAGAGACGAGGACCAGCGATCGTTTTGCACCGTGCCGTCTTATACGGGAACCGAGCGAAGCAATCCTTCTCTATCGTCGTCGGTCGGAGGGAAAGGAGGAATAATTGAATTTCAGAATTCAAATTATAGAAACAAAGATTAAGAAGGACAACGGAGACAATAGATAAAAAGGACAAGAAAATCAGGATCAAATAATAGGGCGAGTGAGGCAGCGTGGATTGGAGCGCAGCCAAGGCGGTCTCTTTTCCACCAATGATGCCATTCTGAGCCCGCTAGGTGGGAAATATGCGGTGGTTGCCCGTCACATACTCTGACATGAAAGCACCAATGTATACCGAGACGTTTCTCTACAAGCAGGAGCAAGCTCTCTGCCTCCACCACCGCGAAAACGCGCAGCCCTCCATCATCCCAACAAGCATACGATATCTGGGTCATTCTGAGGTAGCTGCGCAATTTTCAGCGTGAATCGGGTCCTCGCGAGCAGTTTCTTGCAGAGTGTCGTTCTGGTACTGGAAAACACCAACCACCAGCTTTTCCGAAAGCATCGCTATGGCCTATTCATTACTGACCCTGAAAGCCGTTCACGTAAAAGGCCCTGGAACGTCAGAGCATCGGATTCTGGAGGTACAGGAATTGAGGTGAGGTCCGAAGTGACCGTCCACATTCCCATACTGTTAATCCGCGATAGGTTACGAAGACATCCTCTCCCCAACACCGAACTATCTCTAATGCTGATAGCTCGCCGTCTTAGTTTTTTCCGAGTGATCAAATCTCTCTAGTTTTCGAAAACAGTAACTGTTCCGCACAAAAAGATACTTGTTGTGCCCCACAGCGGAATCAGTTCATTTTGCGACTTTGAGCACAGCAAGTAGGATGTGATCGAAAGGGTTCATAACCGTGCAGAACAGCCTATTCCTAGTGCGAAATATGTGAATGATCACTAGAAAGTTACTATCGGCCACCACGTTGTGATAGAGTGCGTTGAGTGAGAGGAGATAAAGCAGTATGCCACATTTCTTAATTCACACTGGGCAAGTTTGGTAGGCCATCTACCAATCGCCTGTACTGACTACTGACCGCGGGCACAATGCAGCCTAAAGGGCGAGCATCACGCAGTGAAGTGTTCTACATCAGCAAAAGTTTCAGAAAGGTATGAGCACGACATCTCCTTGTTCCCTTCAGTTATCTGACCACACCTTTACAGGCTGTCACCCTTCCACCAGCACGGGCATGGCGAGTGAAGGACACCGATGTTGCAGCGCGAGGTTACGTACTGTGCATCACAAAATCAAAGGTTCGTTGAGAAGAACTGGCCACTTTTGCTCGCTTACTTGATGAACAAACGAATTCCAGGGCTTGTTCTTCGATAAGATGACCAGTCTTGAGCCACGACTGCTTACACTCACTCGTAGTGGGCTGCTCATCATTTACAACAAGGAGGACAAGGGTACGATAACAAACCTACTAAATCGATGCTAGCTCAATTCCTTACCATTCAAGGATACGTCGTGGACGTGAAGGATGCAAAAGTGATGACTACCAAGACTGACCACTTCCGCACCAAGAGACAGTCATATGTTAGTTCATTATTTACCTCTTATACGAAGTTCAGTAACGCCACCGTCCTGGCTGCCCACGAAAGGGTCCGTCCTGGCTGCTACAAAAGCAACCGAGGGAACCTTTACGACCGACTCAACGTGAAGGAGTAGAACGAATTGCGAGATGATATTATATCACTATCACTACGTACCTTCACCCATCTGATTAGAAGCTCATCTCAGAGCACCACATCTCTCAGGGCGGTGGTTTCGGAGTAGCCTGCAGGTTTCAAGATGGAGCGAGCTACGGTGTAAATGAATCATTTATAGTTCGTATACACATTGGGAGGCGGAGGTGGTGTAGTGACAAGTGGGCGCCGGGTTCAAATCCCGGGTCGACTCCCGCCCAGGCCAACCAAGCCTTCTACCCTCCGGGGACGGTAAATTGGTACCAGATTCGTCTGGGAGGATAAAACACTGACTTGTACATCGGCTGGCCACCGCAAGTCATTGTATAGGCCACATCGCATTCAAAGCCACTACGATTCTGAATGGAAGTAGAATGCGTGCCGCATCCCACAAAGGGATTGATCAACGGCGAAGACTTTATCCTTTATCCTTTTATACACATTGGATTGTCTCACCCACCCCAAGCTCTGTTTGGCACTGTTCATATCCTGCACATCTGCGTTTTTCGCGAAAGAAACGCTTCCGCGAAAAGCTTTTGATAAGCATCGATTGGCGAAGAGTCTGGCGGATTGCGCGAAACGGTTTTGATACGTATCGACGGGCGGTTCGGCGGAGCGGTTGGGCGAAAAACGCTAGCTCGACCGCCCTCACGTTTTCTCATGGGCGGAGCCAGCGAAATCGGCACGCATCTATCGCTTTTCGTCGAAACGCCGAACGCGGCGGCATTTGCGGCATTTCTTCAGAGCGGTTTGGTTGGATACGTATTTTTTTGCTTTTCGCCAAACATCCGATTCGTCAGAGAGTGTGAACAGTGCCCTTTTACCTCCATGTATTTATCCATCAAAAAACAGGATGACAGTTGTCTCAAATGGAAACAAAAGCTCAACGATAACACCTCCCACGCCACCTTCGAATCGAAAACTGCTGTGCAGTTTACTAGAGGCCTTAGGACACATGAAATTACAGACTGGCCCTTTTCAAG